AATACCGCGTGAACGTCCTGTAGTCTTGTTGATGGAGTCTCATTTTACCCATATTGGAGCTGAAGTTTTGAAAATAGCGAATAGAAAGATAATCAAGTTTACCTACTTACTTTCCCAGCTCATTGCACTCATCTATTGCAACCACTTGACGTGGGACTATTCAAGCCACTTAAGACTTACTGGCGCGATAGCATGAATCGTTATATGAGCAATAACCATAACATCTTTAACTGACATAGCTCCTGCTTCTCCAGTTTCAACTGACGTAGAACCTGAAATTTCTATTTTAAATCCTAAAGCCAAATTCGATCATATTTTGAAAACACCAACAGCTTCAAAACATCCAGAGAGGTCAAGAAAAAGGGACTCAAGTGCGAAATGCTTAACACCGTCAAATGAAAACACTTCATTAACAGAAAATCTTCAGCAACAGCCCTCAACTTCATACAAATCTGTCCAAAAAGCAAAAAAAAAGTAAAATAGATGATTGGGAGTGTGGCTTATGTGGAGTCCTGTATTCAACTGATGATAAGAAAAGAAATGGAGCCCAATGGATTCAATGCTTATCTTGTTTGACACCATACCACGAGATTTGCATATCTATCGAAGATACTGACACCGATGAAAAACTTTATTATATATGTGATCGTTGTATGGAATAACATTTTTAAATATCTGATTAAATATACAATTTCCATAATATCACCAAATATCCTAACCACTATCATTAATATACCTTACCGTGTTACCAACTTACCTAAAATAAGTTGGTATGTCAATTTGACATTTACTATCATTATTAATCATTTTTTGTTAAATTAAGTCTTCTAAACATTCACTTCAAATAATAAGTAACGTAATAAAGCAAAACTTATTTTTTTGCTTAGTTTTCGAATTCCTATATTATTAGTATTTTTCATTTTTAACACCAATATACCTTTCCTTACGCTATTAAGAATTTAAGGGTTTATTTATTCTTTAGTTTACTATTTATTTGAAAATATATATCTGACTTGTTGGATTTAAAACTTTGTTGTTTATTTATAACCAAGCATTTTGTAAACAGAAAAAAGATTTATACCTATATAGTTTTGAATTACTTGTCAATTTCTTTTAAACAAACAAAAAAATAATTTATTAGTAATGCTCTTATGCAGTAAGTTCATATAGAAAACGGTTAAACAGAAACACGACAGAACAGGTTGTAATTTTTTCAATTAGGACGCATATGACTGAGAAGAGAATTTATTAACACGACATTAAACATGATATATCGATGTGGGTTTATTAGTAAGTCCCTTATAATTTTCATGTTTTCTTGTTTTGTTATAAACATAAAAATTACACAAGATGATTAATACAAAGGCGGTAACTGACAAGATATTAAGGCCTCATTAATACTTGTGTGAAGTAGCTGGTTCATTCATAATTATTCACTGGTAAATGTAAAGGAACGGAGTACAATTTTATGAAATAAAGGAACACGTTTTATTATAGGACAGCCGTGAATGTCATATATTTTTTTATTTTCAAATTTAAAATTAATAAATTATTGTTGACATTTAAGTCATCCATTTTTAACGTAGTTCGTCGATTGCAAATTGTTGATTGTAGATCGTAGATTGTATATTCTAGATTTTAGATTGCAGATTGTACATTGTAGATTGTAGATTCCAGATTGTAGATTGCAGATTGTAGATTTTGGATTATAGATTATAGATGGTAGATTGAAAATTGTAATTTGATTCGTAGTTCTGTTGATTTTGATTTTAATGTAGGCACATATATTTGAGATTATTTTGAGTTACTAGATTAAATAGTTTTTTATTAATAAGAATTTCAACTCTTTCGATGTTGTTAGTTTTTCTTACAGAATAGCATGTAAACCAAGTTTTAATATGAGTCATTATTCTTCTTTGCGTGTGGTTTTTGATATATTTAGTATGTTCCATTTGATTTTCTTCAATTCTTATTGCAGTCCTTCGAACCTGTTTCCATTTCCTATTGACTTTGTGTTGTAAGTTCCTCTATCAAGTTGGCAGCCTTATCGTTTCCAGATATTTTTATCACCACCTTCCCGAGTACTTATCTGGCTGCTGCCTTAGCCAGGGTTGCTTGAGCTACTGGAGCCAAAAGATCGTTTAATTTCACTAGAGGATATAATCAGTAAAACACCATGTTGGCCAGACGTCTTGGTGGGTATAAATTACACCTACTAGTGATATAAGGATGCTGTTTGCAGCCACCCACTCTGGGCCAAAAGCTGCTATGTGATTAAATCTTTACGTTAATGTATACTTATTTAACAGTGGCAGTATTTGACACGTCAAGATACTTTTTGTGGATTTATGTAGAATTATATAAAGGTATTCTTAATAAATGCCATACCATGCCATGCTTTTAGAACTACATACCGAATCTTTTAAAATATGACTGAAAATGAAATTAAACAAAACAAAATTCATGCACTCCGAAGACACCGTGACAATAATAAACAATAAAGTTATAGAAAAAGTTGAAGAATATATCTACTTAGGACAAAAAATAATACTAAATAGGGAAATTCAAACTGAAGAAATAAAAAGAAGAAGAAAGTTAGCTTGGGCAGCATTCGGTAAACTGAACTATATACTCAGAAATTAACAAATTCAATTAGGGTATCAATGCTAGATATATCACTTAAGGACAAGAAAACAAACACATGGATAAGACAGAAAACAAAAGTCACCGATGTGGTGCAAAAATCATTAAAGTTGAAATGGGAATACGCTGGACATGTAGCTAGGAGCGATCTAAACAAATGGCACAGATCAATTTTAACCTGGAGACCATACCAACACAAAAGACCCAGACCTCCTATGAGATGGACAGATGATCTGAAAAGGTCTGCCGGGAAAAATTGTCTACAAGTAGCGTACAATAAAAAACAATGGGAAGGAAGACTTGAAGAGGCTTATGTTCAGATGTGGACGTGAATGGCTAGACGAAGAAGGAGAAGAAGATACTTAATAAATATTAAGATCGTTCTATTTGTCAGTCCATTGTGACGAAAATAGAAAAAAAAAGTCTATCACGTTATAGACAATTATATAAAAATCGTCCTGCAAGTAGTGATGACAAACAGTTAGATTTCAATGGAAAATTTAATAAGTAAATCAACAGTTTTGAAGAACTTTCAAAATAATTAGTTGTACCCATTCAAAATTTATTTTGATCATGAGCTTAACGAGGATACTTTAATCGAAGAATTGGTAATATCGCGATGTAATAATATTCATTATCAACTAGCCTCTAATGTCCACTGCTGAACATAGGCCTCTCGCATGCTTTTCCACTTAGTCCGATTTTGCGCCATCTGAATCCAATTTGTAGTCACTCTTTTTATGTCATCTGTCCATCTCGTTGGGGGTCGACCTCTATTTCTGTAAGCTTGTATTCGGGGTCTCCATTCCAAAATTCTTTTTGTCCACCGGTCGTCAACTGATCTTGCTACATGACCTGCCCACTTCCACTTTAGTGTTGTTATCCTTTCAATAACGTCTGCTACTCCTGATTTTTTGCGTATAGTAGCATTGGGTATTCTATTACGTAGAGAAATCCCTAACATTATTCCCTCCATTACATTTTCTGCAACTTGTAGTTTACTCACTGTTGTTCTTGTAAGTGTTAGGGTTTCTGAGACCACGGCTTCGAAACTGAGAGTGGCACAGAGACGAATGGAACGGTCTATGCTGGGAGTGACGTTGAGGGACCGAATAAGAAACGAAGATCTGCGAAGAAGGACGAGTATTACTGATGTTGTGGAACGCATAGCGGAACTAAAATGGAACTGGGCAGGCCATGTAGCGAGAATGCACGATTCACGATGGACGAGCAAAATTACAAATTGGAGGCCAAGAGCAGACAAACGCAGTAGAGGAAGACCACCTACACGTTGGGCCGACGACATCAGACGTATCACTAAAAATTGGCAACAAAGAGCACAAAATCGTGAGGAATGGAGGAGTTTAAGGGAGGCCTATGTCCAGCAGTGGACGTGATAAATAGAGGCTGGGTGATGATGATGATGATGGAATCTTCGACCTAAAAATATCCTTTATCTTTCCAAATGCAGCCCAAGCGAGGTTTATTCTTCTTTTCAGCTCGATTGTTTGGTGGTCTCGACTTATTCTGATCTCATGGCCCAAGAATTTATAGGAGTACTGGATCAATATCTTTGTTTTCTACTGAGATATTTTTGTTAAGGACTAAATTTGTCATAAATTGTATTTTTTAAAAATTTATTTTAAAATCAACTCTGTTGTGGCAGTATGGAGTTCTTGGAGCATTATCTGTGCCTGATCAAAGCTGTCTGCAAAAAGAACGATATCATCTACAAATTTAAGGTTATTTAAAAATTTTTCATCTACATTGATGCCCTTTTCGTTTCAATCTATTGTTTTACAAGCGTATTCTAGCAACGTTGTAAATAATTTAGGAGACATGTTGTCTCCTTGCCGAATGCCTCTTTCAATACGAAAGATCCCAGTATCTTCATTAAGTCTTATACAGGCTGTAATATGCTGATAGATGTATCTGATGAATGATATGTATCGGTGATCTATATCTATTTTACATTTCACTTAGATTGACCGTATCAAATGCTTTTTCAAAGTCGACAAGGACAAGTAGAAGGGAATGTAATTATAATAACCCACAATATTTAACGCATATCGTTTTTCAGATTAAGCATTATTTTATTTAAGTGGAACTGTAAAAATGTTATATATTGGTTAGAGGTTAATTTTCATTATGTTGGTTTACTCATTTTTCTGAAAAAAGGTAATGTTTGAAAAGAGGCCTAGAAATTTGATATGATTTGAATTGAAACGCACATCAATATATTAGGAATATTATCCCTAACAGACGGATAGGAAGGAGAAGACTTAGAGAGGGGGCAGCAAGATCTCCTGATCTAACCTCACTTGATTTTTTGCTTTTAGTTTGTTTAAAATTGAAAGTGTACTTCAATAGACCCAACCGTAGTATCTAAAATTTGGAAACACATTTGTTATGAGGTAACACTCATTCGACCAGAAACGTTAAGTGAAATGTTGAAACAATTTAAGAACCGCCTTGGAGAATGCCAAGAATTAAAAGAATGCACTTTCAACAAAAAATTGAATTCTTAGATTTATTTTAATAAATTTTTACATTTACAAGTATTTTAATGCTTCCAACGCAAAATTCATTAGTCCAGATATTTAAATATAAATTTAAATTAAACATTGTTGACATAAAAATTGTCTCTAAATGGGAAACCAATGGCGTTGGACTAATAATATGTTTGGAATTGACTGTAATTTAGAAACCTAAAGATAAAAAACAGAATTTATCATTCTATGTAAATAAAATCAATGACGTTATGTACACGAAAATAGTTATGTCAAACGTAAAATTTTGTCAAAATATTGTTAAATAAAAACATTAAACTTATTTCAACCCAAAAATCCTCAATATATTATATTAAAAACAATAATTTAATCACTTCTTATTACAGAACCAATATAAAACTTAAATGTGTTCCCAGAATGCTTTTTCTTCCAATCGGTCTCAATTCCTCCATGGCAAAGACAAAGCCCTCAGTGCCTAACCCGCCTCATTTCTTTCGACAAACATTCAACAAACTCACAGTTAATCATTGTCGTTCTCAGCTTGCGTAACGGAGGGACTCTGAACTTAGTAGGGGTCCCTTAGTACTCTACGCAAGACAGACTGGGCGGGGAGTCCTCAACCCCGACACGGCGCGTCCCAATGGCTGATAGGGAAGTTCCTGTACATATGAAGGATAGGTACGAATAAGGCTTAGCCAAATAAGTACCCCCGGCTCAACTGAGGACATGACACAGGTCAGCAGCTGTCATTAGTGGCCCGTGGCTGAGGAATATGATTCCTAACAGGTGCGGTACCACAAAGTCACAGGTGGCAATCAAGTTGATTTACCTGGCTATTATACTGCGAACACTTACTAACCCGTCTGGCAGGTGTGGTGTTTTGGTGGTCAGATTTTAAAACAAATACAGATTTACCCCAGGTGAGTAGGATGGGTCCAAAATCTCACACTGATTTATCAGTCTTTCCAAGGATTCTGGAAAGGGGACTAGCTGACTAGATGACTACACGGAAACCCAAAAACCTCATAACTCTTTACATTAGTACATAAAATGCCAGAAGTCTACTGTCCGTGGAGAGACTCACAGAAATGGAAACTGAAATAAATAAAATTAAATAGGATGTCATAGGTATCAGTGAAGGTAGAAAGAGAGGTGAAACTTTAAAAACACTATAATCAGGGCATATATTCTATCAAGATAGGGAAATATGGAGAGAACTGGGGGAGACCTATATCCAACAACGGAAGGATAGAGAATAGATTAAAAAAAAAATCTATCAAACTGGCCCTGAAACTACATGAGTTGGAGGCATCGTTTTCTCTGTTTTTAAAACCTACGCGAAGAAGATATTAAGAATTATAGGAAAATAACAGCTTAAAAGTTCTAACGAAACTATAAAGCTAACGAATGGGAAATGCGATTTTCATAAATTAAGAAACAAGCAAAATGAAATAATATCACATAGAGACGAGTTAATACAGGTAGTCGAAGAGTTCTACGAAGAATTATATGGAAGTAGTCGAGAAGATCAAACAGGAATACAAACAGCCATTTCAAAGAAGATCATGAATCAAGGTTCCGATCCGAACTTATGCCAGAAAAAAAAGTAAATGAGATTCGACAAGCGTTAAAAAAATGAAAAATAACAAAGCTCCAGGGAAGAATGGAATGGGAATAGAAGGTATCATACATGGAGGAGATATGCTATTAAATCAACTAAGGAAACTGTTTAATCTATGTTTGCAGCAAAGAGAAGTGCCCAAAGAATGAAACAGTGCCATAACCATCATTTTACATAAAAAACTAGATAGAACGGATCTAGAGAATTATAGACCTATTAGCCTGTTAAACCACATATACAATACACTAGGTTAGTGACATCAAGATTGGAGAGAAAATTATGGTATTGATGATTACCTCCATACAGTAAGGACGCTCATTGAAAAATCTATAGAATACAACAAACCTCTTGTCCTCACTTTCATAGATTTTCATAAAGCGTTCGACACGATCAAAATAGACAGGCCTTATAGAAGTAATTAATGACAGCAGGGTTGACCATAGGTATAGTGAACCTATTAACAATATTTACAGAATGCATGACTCATGATGGACGAGTAAAATTACACTTTGGAGGCCAAGAGCAGACAAACGCAGTAGAAAAAGACCACCTACACGTTGGGCTGACTATATCAGGTGTATCACGAAAAATTGGCAACAAAGAGCACAAAATCGCAAATAATGGAGAAGTTTAAAGAAGGCCTATGTTCAGCAGTGGACGTCATATATGAAGGCTGAATGATGAGGATGATGACAGTTAATCGAATCCGCCTTCAAAGATATGCTTCGGAACTACAAGGATTATACACATATATACACAGACGCATCTAAATCAAACGAAGGTAGTGGTGCTGCAATCGTAACCCCAACATCGACAAATAAATACAAACTTCCTTCAGAGTACTTATTTACTCTGCTGAACTATGTGCTCTATACCAGGCCATCCTATCTTTGCTCTCAACGCATCCAATAATACCAATTATATTATACTCACAGATTCTCTAAGTACCGTACAGTCAATCCTATATGTCTACCCAACTAATCCTTTAGTCATCAAGATAAAAGAAGAAATCCATACCGCTCAATCGAATGAAAATACTATTATATTATTCTGGATACCATCCCATATTTGAATTCTAGGAAATGAAGAGGCAGACAACACTGCAAAGCAGACAATGCTGAAGCTGCAATGCATCGGCCAAGCTACGCCATGTTTAAAAATCGATAAAACCCTGGTCCAAATTACCAACAAGTCGGAGAGACCAGGTCATATTAACGCGACTCCGACCGGATGATACGCGAATAACTAATAGCTGCGTGTTCTCCAACAAACAAGAACCAAGATGTGTCAACTGTGATTAAAAATTAACAACCAAACATATATTAGAAAATTGTCCAGCATTAACGCTAAAGCCCATGTTGTACAATATACCCAACAAACTTTTGGGTCTACAGTACAATATTTCAAACATAAAAAGTTTCTTAACCTCAATTAACGTCTTAAATAAACTAACATTATAAATGTAATACAACTTGTTCGCTATAATTGTTTCGCAAATTTACAAATATATTTGGGAAACACAGTTTGCACACTGAAATCAGTCAAAATGGACTCAGGGTGGCACAGATCGCAGCAGCGAATAATTACGTAGTTGTCAGTACTAACTTCCAGAGAAAAGATATCCATAGATATCCAAGATGGGCAACAGACATAACTAATGTCAGAACGTATCGCGGGGCGAACTCTGACTCAGATCACTATCTTGTAGGGGCAAAATTACGGCAGAAAATAGCGACAGTAGCAAAAGGGAAAAATATTCAAATCAAAAAATGGAATGTCGAAGGATTCAAAAGCGCAACAAAGAGACAAGATTAGAGAAATGCTCTCCAAATAAAACTCAACCGAACTAGAGAAGAAGATACTGCAGAGGAGGAATGGAGACAATTAAAAACAATTATAATGGAGTCAGCAGAGGAAACTGTCGGAATAGCCAAAAGGCAAAGAAATGCGGAATGGTATGATTATGAATGCAGAACTGCAGTAGAGGAAAAAAGGCAAGCTAGGCTTAACCAACTTTAAAGAAACACAAGAAATAGCAGTGAGATTTATAACGAAAAAAGAATACAAGCGACTAGAATATGCAGAAGAAAGAAAAGAGAGGCTATGAAAAAACAAGTACAAGAAATCGTAAAGCATAACAACAGACGCGAAAGCAGAAAATTCTATAAATGCCTAAAAGAAAGCACACAGTCATTTAGATCAAAACTAACGATATGCAAAGACAAGGACAGGGAGCGACTAACAGAGAAGCAAAAAATTATAATGAGATGGAAACAATATTTCGAAGAAAATCTAAATGCAGGCAACGAAAATGATAAGAACGAGACAATATATTATACGGCGGAGCTGCACATCGAAAATCCGAGTTATGAAGAAGTAGTTCAGATAATAAATAAACTAAAAAACAATAAAGCACCAAGAACGGACGGAATTTCGGCAGAATTATTAAAGCATGGAGGATCCGAACTCTGGGAAAGAATCCATTACCTAATAACATTAATATGGACGAAGGAGCAAATGCCAGAGGAATGGACAGTTGGCCTCATACAGCCAATATATAAAAATGGAGATAAGAGGGAATGCCAGAATTATAGGTCAATTACATTGCTAAATGTAATATACAAAATTCTTTCTGGTATAATCTACAATAGATTATTAGAATACTCAGAAAATATAATTGGTGATTATCAAAATGGATTCAGACCAAATAGAGCCACTACAGATAACATATTCATACTAAGAATGATACAAGAAAAAGCTTATGAATACGACATAGACCTATATAATATGTATATAGACTTTAAACAAGCTTTTGATAGTGTGAAAAGAGACAGTATGCTGGAAGACCTTTGTAAACTAGGTGTACCTAAGAAATACATTAGCCTCATAAAAATGACGTTGCAGGGTTCAAAAGCCGCAGTCAGAGTAGATGGAGAACTGACTCCCCTGTTTAACATCAACATGGGAGTAAGACAGGGAGATGCCCTATCAACCATGCTATTCAACCTAGTTCTTGAGGCAGTCATCAGAAAACCAATATAACCGGCCATATAAACACCAAATTGGTACAAATTACTGCATATGCAGACGATGTAGCCATCATTAGTAGGAATAAGCCACGACTAATGGAAGTGATCAAACAAATTGATCCTGAAGCAAGAAAAAGAGGTCTCAAAATAAACGAAACAAAAACGAACTATATGACAGTCAAAAGAATAACTGACATTGAAAATAATATCACAATAGACAACTATACTATCGAACGAGTGGATGCCGTTACATATCTCGGCACAGAAATCAATCAGAAGAACTCCGTAAGTAGCAAAATTAATGCACGTATTTCCAGCGGGAATCGTACATACTATGCTAATAAAAGATTGATGACATCAAAATTATT